TAGCCTGTGTACATCCGTTTCTCACCCCTCAAAAAATCGGGGAGAGAACGTCTGTGATTTGCCGTTGCTAATCGTGTTCTGACATAAATTTGCATATATAATGTGACATGCACGTTAGAGCTTGAGCAGGCACGTTAAAAGGTCAAGTAAACAATGGACCGTTCCGCAACATAATTCGAACATAATGCCAAGAGATTTTGTTTTTGTTTCAGCCATTCAATTCTAACTTCGACCGTGGTTTACATTATTGTCTCTGCCCATTGGTCTATGCCGTGCTCTCTCTATCTTCGGTAGTAGGTGTCTCGTCAGAATGTGGTTTTCCTGTAATTTGCGTCGTGCAATGACTTCCATCAACCGTACTAATCTTGAGGACCTCAGAACACGATTAGCAACGGCAAATCACAGACGTTCTCTCCCCAATTTTTTTGGAGGGGTGAGAAACGGATGTACACAGGCTACACGTACTGGATTTAAATGCAACTAGACGCTCTTGGAGCGTGAAGTCGGACTAGTTATTTTTGAATGTATATTATGAGGTAGAATATTGTATTTTTAGTCGGACTAGCCGAAGGCTAGGTCGACTTAAGTTTTACCTTTTAGCCTATCTATCTATGTATTTTGTCGCGTTTTGGGTTGCCTGTGTTATCACATGACCGGAAGCTCAAACGTATAGATGTATGAATATCACTAGTAAATGTCAGATTCTACTTGTGCTTTTGATAAAAAAACTATTCGTTTACAAATGTGGTATCTGTGATCTCATCGGAATGCATCGGTCTAGGCATCAGAAGTACGAGTAGTATGCTTACGCTAGACAGACTTGTTTGTAAAACAAGAAGAAACTTTGTTTATCAATAACAAAAAGGCGACTTTGATTATTTTATAGGCATATTTTTTTTAAATAAAAGATTTAAATTAATTTTTTTTGGGCCTAAGAGATCAACAATTTCAATTAAAAACGTATTAGATATCTCACTTAGCGACATTCCTTTGATTTTATCAATTCAGTTGTAAGTTGTTCGCAGGGTATTAATTACATGACCTTTWATGTCAAATTCTTAGATTTCTATCGTTTTGAAGTCGTTGCAGAGAGCAGTCAAAAAGAATATCGTATCGTGTGAATAAACGGTTTTGAACAGTACATTAAAGTGAAAGTAATACATTCTTGCTTTTACTATGTACATGTATTAGAAGTAAAAAACATATATTCTACATCATAATCAACATTCATATAATCATATGATTAGAAAGAATATAACATCATAATCTTTTCACTCGTGTCTTGATCAATTTTCAAAACTAGCTAGTCCGACTTCACGCTCCAGGAGCGTCTAGTTTACTTCTAATACATAGTGAAAGCAAGAATGCGTGACCGTTTATTCACACGATACGATATTCTTTTTGACTGCTCTCTGCAACGACTTCAAAACGATAGAAATCTAAAGGTCACGTTTACGGCCCCTTATAGATGTCGATTGTTATTCGAACGTCATTTTGGGCCGTTAATTTACGGCCCCTTATAGATGTCGATTGTTATTCGAACGTCATTTTGGGCCGTTAATTTACGGCCCCTTATAGATGTCGATTGTTATTCGAACGTCATTTTGGGCCGTTAATTTACGGCCCCTTATAGATGTCGATTGTTATTCGAACGTCATTTTGGGCCGTTAATTTACGGCCCCTTATAGATGTCGATTGTTATTC